CTCATTAACGTATTGCGAAGGATCAAAGAGTGCTAAGCTAGGACACACTGGTGCTACACACTGTACAAACTTAAAATGAAATGACAACCCACACCCAGAAGACCTTACAGTACGAATAAAAAAGCACAGGTAATACACAAAAAAAGATTATTGGGGAAGACATGAAAACGTGAAAACAGTACGGGAAGCAGAGATCTGGATAATCAACAGATTTAAATGTTACACATTGTGACACACCTCACACTGATGCTGAGTTTTATGGAGGATTCAGGTGAGGATAACTAAGTAGCTTTGAAAACGTTTATAGACAGCTCTTCTCAAGCATGAGAGAGGGCATAAGGGCCTTTCCTAGAAGATTTAAGAGGTAGATGATGGAGATGTTCACCACGAGTAAATCTTTTCATCCTTTCCAGTGTTGTTCAGTGAATGAGAGAACATATGTGTTGTAAGAAGCCATGAAAGGGATCAAGAGAAAAAAAAAAAAAAAAAAGAATTTACAAACTGAGAGTACAGTGCTTCCACAAATCTACTCAAAACAGAAAACGACAACACAGGGCCATTTAAAAATACTTTTAAAAATATTTACACTTAGAAGCATGATGGATTCAAAATCCTAGGTCTCTAGGATTTACGTTTCCATAGCAAATGCTAATCAAACTGTTGATTATTTTTATTAAGAAAGTTATTCTCAGATTTCCTTTTCGTGTGTTTGTGTATGTTAATATTAGAAACTGTAAGTAAAATCAAGATTAAAATGTAAACAAATTACAGATATAACTACAATACTTAGATTTCAAAGCACACTTACAGAAATTTGAGACAGCAAAAAGGAGAGCAAAGCATGCATTTTTGAACAGATGGTGCTAGATAAGGTCACCCAGACATAATTGAGGTCAGAATTTGGCCACTGTAGGAACAGACACTCTCAGTGAAAGAGGTGAATTTCCTCCTGTGTTTTTCATTAATTACTCAGTGCCATTCAGTCACAGTGTTGTCTGTTGAAGATCCTCTCAGTAATCCCTTGTCCATACAAGTCTTTCTCTAGAATATTCTTTCAATATTATGCACCTGAAGAAAAAAATCTGTTTGTGAAAACACTGATTTGCTTTTTAGCTGCAGAGACAAAAGTCACTTATTTTAGCTGCGGTCTGTAAGATAACAATAAGTATTGGCGGACAAGCATATTAAGGCACATTTTCACTGCTGATGTAGAAGAAACTGATATAAAACAACAGCTAATTTTTATGAAAATACAAACAAGTTTAAAATTCAAAGACCAATTTTAAAATACTTTATATCAGAAAGAGAAAGCAAATCAAGAGCCCGGACAGATGTAGCAGAACTGGCTTGCAGAGTTGTCTTGGACAGATGCTGCTCAAATTCTCCTCGGCTTTCAGCATGGAAAACCAGAGTTTTATTGACCTTGCTGTTGACTTTGCACACTCTATCTGAGAGCAGTGTTTGCTTTGTGAGTTTTTTCCCACTTTGCATAAAAATATAGGATATTAAATAGCATTGTATACAGTAAAGCATGCATTCATGCTTGCATTTATTTCTAGCGGGAAGTCATTCACATGTGAATGCCAGTTAGAAAGCATCCCACAGAAACCAAACCAACCGAGTTTCTACAAGGGCCTCAAAGCATAATGCTATGCTGTTTCAAGTCGTACAAAATATTCTCTCCACAGCTGTGCAGGCTCAGCCTGCAGATGCAACCATCACAGTCAATACTTTTATTTGAATGACACCCATATCAAAGCGTTTTTCTTTCATAATAGTCCATTTTATCTGGCTAAAAAGAAAACAATATTTGAGAAATATCGTTAATGTATCAATTTTAGGAACACGTCTGATTATATTTTCCTTTTCACTTATTACTAAATTGCTTTCCTGAAAATATTTTCCTCTGTTGCCCTTCAGCTGACATTAATTTGGATCTGTATTTTGGCCCTTTTCCCTTCCCGAACAGCTTTACACAGAAATACGTGACGGAAATAAGAACAGTAGTATCAGAAATAAATCAGCTAACAGTATTTACCTAACTAAAGGTTTCTCTAGACTACTTGTAGCTTTGCTTTTCAGAACTGGCCGAAACGAAGGCCGTACTATTACTAAAATCAAACCAAATACCGTATTTTATTATTTCGTGGCTTCTGTAATAAAGGATAATACGTTTCTTTTGTGACAACCATTTAATTCCAAAGTCTGCGGATCATTTTGTTATCATAAAAATAATACTGCTCCGGGCTTTTTAAACCAGCTTGGGCACACTTACAATTTATGCTCCGCTTACAATTTATGCATGCCTGCAAGCTTGGGCTTGTCACACGGGAGGTCCAACTGTCTCCTCTTACTACAAATACAAGACCAGTGACATTTGTGGTAAAGTGTGATTGAGTTTGGCCCATCATATATTGAAAAGGAGTAATAAGAATGAGCTGGAAACCAAAAAAAAAAAAAAAAAGGAGAAAAAGAGTGTATTTTACATCTACTTCCTCAGGTGGAAGCAGAAGTCACCATTTTTCACGTTGTTCAGAAATAACAGCTGGCTGATGACCAGCAGCTGCTTGAACAGGGGGCAGAACTAAGAAATTATTTATGATTTCTATAAAGCTGGGCTTTTTACTAACTCTTCCATGAACAATTCGCTATAGCAGATCCCAAAACGCCCCCTTCACAGGCACCTCCCTGCGCTGGGAAGACACTTTTGACAGAAACGTACACGTAGACAAGGCAGCAGGTGAAGATGCTGTATGTGACCCTCACAAGCACACACAGGAATTGCTTCTGACCACACTTTATGCGGCCTGCCCTCACCCCGCAGCCCTGCCGCCCACACATACAAGAAATATAAACTGTATTTTAACCTGCTCCGGGGCCGTGGCCGTTGCTGGGAGGCATCTGGGCTTTTCCTCCCCACACACACCTCCCCCAGAAGGCCCCCACGCCTGTGAGGAGGCCCTGTGGAGAGGACAGAGCCGCATCACTCCCGCC